TAAACTGGCCAGGGATGGCTGTGGCCCATTCCTCAGATGGGATAAGGGAATGATGGGTGGGGGGCTGCTGGGACCTGGGGTAGGATTATTCACCCCAGAGGTGGTGGCAGAACCCCACTTGCTATGCTGATGGTCATCCTGGCAGGACAAGCTCAGTGGGGATTCTGGACAGGATATGAGGCTGTGCTAACCAATTGGAGGTATAGTCTCCCAGAGAGTGTCCTCGGGGCTGATGCTCCAGAGGCAACAGTGATGATAAGGGGTCAGATTTTCATCCTTTGCAGGGTAGTTCCCAAGTTATTGGAGCTTCATAACAGCCTTGCTAGCAGGCAGGAAGTTTTTATTTTGAGGCTGAGGAAATTGAGTCTCAGAGGAAAAATGACATACCTATGACACAGAACTAGATCTGGGAACAGAGCTCTGGTACCTCAAGGCCACATCCTGCATGGAACCCTGGTTCTCCGTGTTTCTTGTATGTCACTGTATTTATCTGCCTGAGCTAGAGAGGACACTGGGGAGAAAAGGGCCTGCAGAAGAAGTCACAGGGGAAGGGTTTAGACCCCAGGGTCTGGTCCATGGAAGACACACTGGGGTGAGGCAGCAGCAGGTTACCCCGCAGTGAAAATGTCTAGCTGATCTTCTCCTGGGGAGACATTCTGGGCTGTGTGGTCCTATTTTGCCCAGTTGAGCTGCCTCTGGGGCTGCTGTCAGGTGGGCAATAGTAGAGCAGCCTTCTCCCCAGCCCTGTGACTTGTTGAGACTGTCCTGATTGTCTATTGTCTGCAGCTGTTCTTGCTGCCGCCCCAAACCCTCCTGGTTCTGGCGTCGAGTGGCAGGTGGGCAAATAAAGGCAGTATGGATACCTTACGGAGAGCATCCGAGTGCCTGGTCCTGGGGGAAGAAGGGATGGAGTGGAAGTTGAAGGGAATGCTGGGATGTGGGAAAAATCTCCGAGGCACAGGGCCATATCCTCTGGAAGCCTTGTTCAGCATCTGGATGCTCAGTGAATACTGCAGAGCCCTCTACTGGGGAAAGATGTAATTACAACACAGTTCCATACTTGACGGTACCTAGAGTTTTCATCGGCAGTGCAAGGGTGGGAAAGCCCGCTTTAAGTCAGATCCACTGGGCTTGGGTCCTGGATTCATCACTTAATTGATGAGACTCTGGGCAAGTTACTTTAAGCTCTCTGAACCTGTTAAATAGAGTAGGTATAACACCTTCTCTATCTACTTGGGGGAATCCAATGAAATATTAAGTGACATGCCTTGTAAAGCCCAAAGCTCTAGAATAGATGAGAGCAGATCTGCCTCTCCTGTTCCTTATGCGTACTCAGGATTGTGCAGGGTCTTGGCAGCAATCCCCCCTGCTTCTGCCCTGAAAGGAAGGTCCAGACCAATTTTCCAGTCCTCAGTTTCTTCTGTTTTGCACGTACAGAGCAGCTGGCCCGTCCCCGGGTCACACTGAGTTCCAGGATCAGTGGGAACGGACACTGTCTCGTCACCCTGACATGTGTGGCAGAGAGCAGAGGAGGCACTGTGACCTACAGCTGGACACCCCTGGGGCCCCGGACTGTTGTGTCCCATGGAGGAGCTGTCCTCAGTGTCTCCTTGAGGCCTGGGGACGGTGCTTTGAACTTCACCTGCGTGGTCAAGAACCCCGTCAGTAACAGCACTTCCCTCCCCGTCTCGGTGCCGCCCTCGTGCACAGGTGCCTGGAACCTGAGCGCATGCTCTGCACAGCAGCTCTGCACACAAATGGAGGACGGAGGAAGGGGTCCTGTCCCCTTCAAGTCCTGAGAGAGGGGGTGGGCCAGGGTGGGTCCATGTGGTGAGGGAGAGGAAGGAGAAGATCCACTGGAGGCGATGGGGAGGGGGGAGGGGCCTGGGCAGGAAGGGCTTATGGGATATGTGCGTGCCCTGAGTGGGCAGGCAGACCCTGACACTGAAGCTGTGGTTTCCTCTCTCTGCCTGCAGGGCCAGGAGTCCTGGGAGGGGACATGGTAGGGGAGATAGTGATCGGCATGCTTGGGAGGTCAGCCGTTCTGCCCCTGGAGGTCCCAGCAGGGCAGGAGGTGGAAAAGGTTACCTGGATATCTCGAAGACTTGTTGCAATTTTGCAGCCAGGACCAGCAGGCAAACCAATCCTGGCTGCTGGGACTCAGGGGCCCTACAGCAGGCGACTGAGCGTCCCCCGCCATGACTACTCTCTTCAGATTAGCCCCCTGCAGCCGCAGGACTCTGGCCCCTACAGAGCCTGGATGACTCTGCATACTCCCCCGATCAACATCACCAAGGATTTCACCCTGCGCATCTATGGTGAGGAGGGTAGAGGGCCTACACTTGAACTTTGACCTTTCCTCTCTTCCGTGTGGCTGGACCAGAGCTTTCTCACAGCTTGAATCTTCCCTTCTTGGCACAGAGAGGCTGCAGGAGCCCACTATCACGGTCAGCTCTCAGACCATGAAGGATGGGACCTGCTTCATCACCCTGGCCTGCTCGCTGGACCAGGCTGGAGAGGATGTTCAGTACAGCTGGGACCCTCGCGGCCAGGGAGCAGTTGTGTCACATGGGGGGACCACCCTCAGTGTCTCCTGGAGGTCTGGGGTCAGTGACAGCTATCGCTGTGCTGCCAAGAACCCCGTCAGCCAGAGCTCCAGCTCCATCCCTACCAGCTCCCTCTGCTCAGGTAATGACTTCCTTCTGTGACCCTCTCCCTCCCAGACAGATTCTCAGCATCCCTGCCTGTCATCCTTAGGGTTCTAAGAGTAGCTGAAGAGAAGGAGGGCAGGATTAGTTTGCAGCAGGGAGTGTCTCTGGGTGGCAGGAGATGTGGGCTCTGGAGCCACCGTCCTGCTCTGTCCACCTCCTGTCCATTGGCCTCAGACCCCTGGACTAGCGGCAGACTCAGTTGGGTATTCAGCTCTTTCCTGGGACTCTCTGAGGAAAGGTGCTCCCCCCCTCCCCACTCAGTCCTGCAGAGCCCACGGAGGAGGGGTCCCAGACCTTGCTGCCTGTGTCCTCAACAAGCCCCAGCCCCTCCCCTCACCCAGAGCTGCCCTGGGAGCGTAGCTGAGAGTGTGCCTCTGTGGCAGGCAAGGGTGGCCTCTCTTGGTTTCTACAGGCCATGGCAGGAAACCCCCTTAGTCCAAACACATTCTGTCCCTCTCTTCTTCTTGGCTAACTTGCAAATATTTGCTCTGCTCCCTGTCTTCAGTTCCTCATCAACTCTTCAACCCCTGGTGGCTGGTTTGCCCCCAGTGGCACCCTGATTACTGAGGTCAGGGGCTACTCCTCAATTCTGTTCTTCTCCACCTGCTCTCCTCACCACGCGTGCTGCCCTCTCCTGGACTTCTGCTCACGGGTCACCATTGTCGGCTGAAACAAATGCTCAGCCTAAAAGTTGAGAGTTATGTTTTATTTGATGGGAGGACTCGAGCCGGGATGACAGCCTCTCAAATCGCTCTGAGGGGCTGCTCCAAAGGGGTAGGGGAGGAGCTAGGAGATATAGGAGCTTTACAGGAGCAGGTAGTTGGAACAACAAAAGATTACTTGTTATCTAAAGAAAACCAGGCATCTCAAGTTAAAGAATTTAGTGTTTTTCTAGGTATGGGAGGAAGCAAACATTTGGGCTCACTGAATTCATTCCTTTGACAAGCACCTAGCTATCTAGGGCCAGTGTCCTGTCCTTTCTTATTCTGAGTCCCCTCAGGGTGCACCACTGTGAGTGGCTGCAGAGGCTGGGCTGCAGGCTTGCTTTCACTGGGCCGATGACTTAATGGCTTCAGCATTCTTTGTTTACTGACACGGTTTTGCAGTATTTTTCATTCACACCATCTTTCTCAGGACTGATGTTGCCCCATTCCCAGGCCTCTCCCCACTCCTCTTGTTTTCTTCCTGTCACCAAAGGCAGAAAGCTGGACGTCATTTAGAGCTCTGTCTTCCCCACAGCTACCTTCCACTGCTCACGTGGGCCTCACTTCACATCTTCCTCGCCTGGTCCCCTAATTCCTCTTCCTTCCCAATTGCTCTCCGGATTGGGGGTTAATTCTCAATGAAAGAAGTGCTTGTGTTTCTTTTCTGCTTAACACCCTTTGATGTCTGCCCGCTATCTAAGGTATAAATATTCTAATACTGTGAAGGAAAAGCCCAGCTGGGCTAACAAGCTAAGTCACAAATCTAAGTGTAACAAGTGTCAGATTACTGATCTGAGTTCTGCTGGGCTAACTCATAAATCTAAAGTTTAGTGTCAGTCTATTGGGCTAACGAGCTCAGTCACAAATCTAAGTGTGATAAGTGTCGGTTTACTGATGTAAGTTCTGCCGGGCTAACTTGTAAATCTAAAGTTTAGTGTCAGTTTACTGGGCTAACAAGTTAACTCGTAAATCCAAGCTCAACAAGTGTCAGTAACGTGATCTGTTCCAAATTGATAAGCTCCAGTGTACTGATTCCTTGTTTTTTGTTGTTTGAGCCTTATTGGCTAATAGCCCATACTTGTAATTAACCCTACAAAACCTCATGCACACGTCTTGGAGGTGC